TGGTGTTGGATTATAATCATAACATGTACTAGCTGACTGATCAAGTCCGATCAAGTATTGTAAAATAATTTTTTTATTTATTTCACGCCGTGTGTAAAATCAGTTGTGTAATATCAACGTTTCCTCCCGTTGGAATTCTGTACTACAAATATAGTGCAGGTCATAAGGTCATATAATGATGATCACTAATCAAGATTTTTTATAGTGAACTGCAGAGCAACGATAATTTAATAGTAAAAACATAGGAAGCTTAGGCTGCAATAACTCTTGAATCAGCAAGCCCACACAAATAAGATTATATTTGTCGGATTCTTTATAACGTGCTCTTTAATGTGCCTACGCAATTATAATTATATTTGTCGGGTTCGTTATAATGTGCAGCTTGAGCTTTCTATGTTTTTACTATTACATTATCGTTGATCTGCAGTTCACTATAAAAAATCTTGATTAGTAATCATCATTATATGACCTAATTCCGCACAGATAGTGGCGGTATTGTGACCATAGTAGGCAATACTTGCACTTGTTAACTTCTAAAAATTTGTCGTCTTTAGAACCGGTTAGGTGAGGTTTTTTTTTTTCATCTATATAAGTAGGTACGGACGTAAGTACGTATGTTTTTATTAATTACAATGACAATGACTACATTCACACGAAAAAACTTAGCAGACCAAATTCGAACTGGATTCACCTTTTTAGACATTCGCTTGCAAACAGTAAGGTGAGAAATCACTAAGTGAATTTTCAGTCGTATGTGTCTGAAGTTACGCTGCCACTAGGGTGGACATCGGAGAACTGGAAGCACATCGTGGCCACAGGTGTACCTGTGAACGTCCTTCTCCGTTGTCTAACCCGAAAAACTCGATCTTGCCCTGCGCGGAAGTTGTGGTGAATAGGATGCATTGGTAGACCACCAGGATTACCTTGACGACAATGACGAAATTTACTTATAAATTTTTTTTCTTTTTATAGTTACGACGATGAAGAAAATCGTATGATCGATTTATTCGGTAGCCATAACAAACGATTATTACTAGTTCACTGTGACGACGACCCCCACGTATCTGAAAAAATAACAATTGGTAGAATAAAAAAATTCGAACAAGTAGTATGTCGGTACCCCCCCCCCCAACACTATAGCTATTTATATTACGTCAGCACAAAATAATTATTCAAGAAATTCTTTAAAAACCAATGTTTTGGTTACAAATATAAGCAAAATGGCTCGCGATGTTCCGGTTTATCTTTTGATTTCAAACAATGATGTTTATAACCTAATAGAAAAAGTAAATGAGGAATTAACTAATCAAAAATCTACACAAAGAATCATTGTTTTTTTTGTCACATTAATTTTTTTATTGCTGCTGATAATCGTTTGGTAATTATCAATGAAATTTTATGAATAATTCTTTAACATTTCTATTAATTTTATTATAACATATAGGTCAATTGGTAGAAGATTCACGGTGGAAACACCACTTACACTAAATTACCTTAACCGCTAATGGGTTCTGCCGTATATAGCATCTGAAATTTTGATGGGTCAACCGTACACTCAAGCGGCAACGAAACTAAAATTTTTTTTTTAGTTATCATATATCTTGGTAACTTAGTTATATTGTCTATCAATATATATTTTATTTGACAATTTGTATATATATATATTTTTTTGGATACCTTTAAGACCTTTTTTTTTTTTGGTGCTCTTTCTATTTTTTTTTTTTTTGCGTTGCTTTTCCATAGATAATTAGTAGTTTTGTGGAAATGATATTTTTGCTTAATAAAAATCAAACCTATTAAGAGGTTTATATACTTTCAATTTTCTAATATATTAAATAAGTAGCTGCGCGACGCAGTCGCGCTAAACCAGGAACGGACGAATGCAAAATAGATTTTAGACAAAGTTTAGAAATTGTATTTATTAATTGTCATGTCATGTTGAAATTATTTAAATTATGATTTTTGGGGTTGAAATATGTTGTATTTAGCAGTTTGATTGAAAAATCATTGAAAGAAAAAAAAATTCAATACGAACTTATCTTTCGGTTAAAATAACCGGCTTAAATCACTAGTTTCCTCCTGTTATTAGTTTATTGAACACCCTAACGTATCGATATTAAAATTACGTTACTTAATTGGCCAACCTACATAGCGTGGTTCAATTAGCCAATCATATTAATGTCTTCCTTCCTTAATGTGTAAAACTTATCAAATTTCAAATAGATGACCCAGATATTGGTGTATCCTCTCAATGCACCGGTAGATAAATCATTTTTTTCCACAACTACTACTAGATCGTATTATACTGCTGTACTGATTTTGATCTTTAATTTTATTCGAACAATAGTTCCGGGAATGTGAAAAAGAATATAATTTAACTCTTCGTCGCGATCATGACAGCGCAAAAGAGACTTATAAACAACTTCTTAAACGCGATTTAATGAAAAACCCGACA